TTGTCAGGGTTGTTGATGCGTTTGTTACCATCCTCAAGTTGTGGCGGGCCGTACGGTTGTTGTACAGGGCTCTAGCCTTTAGTTACAGTATGCGTTGGTGGCCAAGCGGGTGTCCCCGATGTATAAGACAAGTAGACGTGTACAAGTGTGTTGTCTGTACAATTAATCTCGACAGCACTCACCATGGGTCTTCAAGGGCGAGTTTTCGCGATGTCGATGCGCGCTTGCGCGATCGCCCTTCCCAACGCAACCGCTGCAACACATGTCTGGGGGAACGAATCGACAGGTTCAAGCCAGGTTCGTTACAGATTCGGTCCGCTCGCCGCTGAGAGTTGCGACGTCTGCGGCAGTTAGCCTCAATTCGGCTCGGCTTGTCCCGCCTGCCAGGCTCATTTGTTTAGTTCTCTCCGTGTGCTGGTTTGGAGGTTCTCATTCGAAGGGGCTCCAGCGTGCGGTGCGCCACTCGATCAGCCAATCGGCGACCTCCGCGTCTGTCTCGCTGTCTTTGTTGTCCTCCCAGGCTTTGAGATGGCCCTGGGTGGAGGGTGGGCAGCGCCAAGGCGGGTCACCACTAGGGGGTCGCCACCACCTCGAGGAAGCGGACCCGCCTGGATCCCCCCGAGCCCTCCCCGGTGCTCCCAGGGACGCCCGGAAACGTCCCGATGCTCCTCTCCTGAGATCCGACGTTGCGGGAGAGAATCGTACATCGTGAAAAGTCAGGACCGCAGCCCAACACCCCATTTATCTGCTGTATTGGAGCCAGATCGAATTGTGATTGGTCTTGGGGCCCGAAACCCAGCGAAAACGCTTGGTGCGAAAACATTGCGAAGCCCGGATCTCAGGAATGTTTCTCGATCCTCGACCCTCCCTCCTCCCCAATCCAGCGACTCCCGCGACCCAGATCTCGAGATGCGGTGATCTGTTTAGATACGCAATCTGAGCCAGCAGCTTCCTGTGCGTGGCGCGAGGCTCGCTCGGGCCGCTGACCCCATCCAGAGCATTCGAACCAGCACCAAACCTGGGCCCAACCTGGAAGACCCTCCTCCATCTCCAACTTCCATCGCTCGTGCATCCGCGATTCGTGCGATTCTCCAGACGCACCTCCCCCCCCCAGACTCCCGACGACCGTGACCCAAGAGGCCTCGACCACATCCCCGAGTTAGTTTTGGGTCGTCCCGGACCCGTGTTTGTTCGTCCTCGGGGCCCGAAACGGCGCCCGGAGCTCCGAAATCAAGGAAAACACCCGCAGCAAAGGCCGAAAGCCCCCAGATACCTCCATCCTCGATCCTCGATCCTCGAACCTGCTCTGGCCCCGTGGCCCCGTTTGGGAGGCCCCCCTGTGGGGGGAGGCTGGCGAGTGGGCGGGCGGCGGGGGGCCACGCGTGAAGCGCGAAGCGTGCTGCCAGCGGGCGGGGGGGCGCGGCAGGGCCCGCGCAGCGTGGTCGCTGGGCAGACGACCTGCCCGCGTGAGGCGATGAGGCGGAGGAGCAGGAGAGGGAGGAGGCGAGAGCGCGAGACGAGGGGGAGGAGGCGAGAGCGTGAGACGAGGAGAGGCGGCGGAGGAGCAGGAGCGTGAGACGAGGGGGAGGAGCAGGAGGGAGGACGGCGAGGAAGCGGGCGGGGGGCGCGGCAGGGCCCGCGCAGCGTGGTCGCCGGGCAGACGACCTGCCCACGTGCTAGCGTTCCTCCGTCTCAGCTGGCCGAGGCCGTGGGACTCCCCACGCGCTGCCTCCGCCACCTCCACCCCGGGGTCGGGCGAAGAGGGGTTGGGAGTCCGAAGTTGTTGGGCGTTTTAGTCGGTCCCCAGCAGTTTCCCAGCCTCGGGATGCTCTCCAGCAGTTGCGCCATGCCGAGAGCGTTCCAGGGGTGCCGAATCGTCCCGAGCGGCCCGAGCTATGATCCGAAGAACCACACGACGAAGTTCTCTCGCAGGGGATTGGGAAAGGGAGGCACGACATCTGCTACATCAGCTTGCTTCGGCCCCGCCGCTGGACACATTCTTCGAAATCCAGCCACGTGGGCTGATTGGCTAACCCCACCATTGTTGTCCCCCCGCCTTTCGTTCGACCTGACCCACCCCTGAGAACGATACGCAGACTCTGCCCTTCACGTCCTGGTACTGCTGGCAGTGGGCATATGTCCACGTCGACAGCAATAGGTCAGGGATGGCTTATGAATGGCGGCCTCGATGCTTCGATTGCCTCTTTAGGACGAGCCCATGTGCCAAACTGAAAATCGACAACTCCCCGTGGTGTCGTTCTCTATGAAGGCAGTGACAATCGGCGGCTCGCCGAGGAGGGGGCGCGGAGTGAGACGGGGCAGGCCTTCTCAGAAGGTGGCGGGCTTCTCAGATTGAGAACCCAAGAGCCCGTCGAAAGCGAAAAGGCGAGAAGACAAACAACATGGAGTTTCACTTGGTGTTGGAAGGATTTAGACCTCCTGGGGTGTCCCTTGGGAGGCTCCGTGGCAAGTTAAAGCCGTCTTGGGACGGTCATGGCGCCTCTTAGCGGCGTGTTGGAAGCTATTGAACCATCTTGCGCTATATTGTACGGTCTTGGAGGCCATCTTGGGGCCCTCTTGGGCTTGCTTGGCGGCCCAGACCGCTCGCGACAGGCCCCCTCCAGACCCGAAGGGCTTGTGTGACTTATGCCGATTTCCTCCCGCCATTAAGTAGAACCTCCTCATATCCACGGGGGGGATGGGAACGAGGGGCGGATGGATTACAAGGAGAAACGTGTAGGGAAAGTTGATGCATCATGATCAGTGGTTCCAGGCCTCTTAGATGGGGTCGGAGTAGATGGGGTCGGAGGATCGCGCCGCATCGCTGATGCATAGGCGATGCGGCGCGATGCGGAGCCCGATGTTCTCCACGCCGGCGTCGCCGATGCATCGCTCGACGATACATCGCCAGTGCATCGCCGATGCATCGCCGATACATCGCCTATGCATAGCCGATATATCGGCGATGCAGCGCGATCCACCGACCCCATCTACTCCGACCCCATCTAGGAGGCTTCTAGTGGTGAGTAGGCTACGCAGACAAAGACGCCCTCACAAGCGCACCTAAGTATGTTGGACGTGCTGATATGCACATGTCGCCCAGATTGGCTTGTATGATTAGCAGCCGACCTTGCTACTTTTTATGGAGCATGCAACATTGCAAACCTCGCCACTGGTGAGAGTTCGTTTCGAACGAATTGCCCATGGCCGCAATTCTGGTACATGCGCTACAATGTATTTGGGAGTACACTCACAACGCTTTACGGCTTCGCATGGTCCCCTTCTTGCTTGTACCCGCACTGGTGCATGTCCATCCTCATACTGCCGCACGGGAGACGAAGACAAGCAGGACAGAGCGATGGCTGGATACATTCACAATGTTGACGGTGATGCGCATCATTTTTTGACCTGGAATTGCGCCGTGTAGGAACGGCAGTAGAGTTGTTTTTGAAAGCAGGTGGGGGTATTGAGTCAGGTTGTTATACAGTGACCTGATCAAACTGGAACGACCAGGAAACGAAACAAACAAACAACGAGTCTTTGTCGTCCCTGAGCTTGGTTCCTGGGGAAGAAGATTCTGGGCAGGCTGCATCCTTGTCGCCATGGCTGGATTCGGGGATTCGTCGCTACTGGCTGCATTGTTTTCCGCCCGAGTCCGAGGCGGGGTATCAAGTGTCGGCACTCGCTCCCGAGGGGGTAGTTGTGTTGTGCCTTCCCTGGCGGCCCGAGGGCCTGGCAAGGGGGGCGCCGTGTCGCAGGCTCCCGTGTGGGCCCGAAGGATCCCCTGAGGGCCCAAGCACACCTCGTGGTGCTCGGAGTTGGCGTCTGCGGACCGACGACGGTGCCCCAGGAGGGCGCTTGGCGAACGATGCTTCGTCTGCGGGCCGAGGGCTGTTGGCTGGCGTCGCCAGCTTCCCCGCCCTCCCTCCCTGGTGGGTCTGGTGCGTCGGCTGGCGGGGTCTCGAGGTCTCGGTTGGGTCTCTCGAGCGCCCCTGGCCGGCCGCACCGAGTGCGTTGCCCAACTGTCAGTGCGGGCGCACTGGACCACCCCAGGGGGGAGGCAGCCCACCATAATCTTCTCACACAGTAAGTTCGGGCGCCCCCAGAGAACGAAAGGGAAAAAAGAGCTTCGGACATGGCTGCACAGGCAGGTCCGGAACTGCCTATTGCAGATGGAGAGGACCGAGGCCATTGAGCACCTTGGGCTCGGCACAAGCAGGTTTTCTCTCCAGAGCAGCCACTGCGCCGCCTTCGGTCCTTTTCGGGCTCGGGCCTCGCTACTGTGCTGCCCCAGGTCTACGGGGGCACCCAGACCTTCTGCATAGTCAGGGACCCCTACGAACGCCTCATCACAGAGTTCCGTCGGATCCAGTCGGCTTCGCCTTCATTGCCGCTGCCCGTACGATTCCCCGAGGAACAGAGGAGGCAGAGGAGAGGGTTGCGCCGGCTCGAAGTACTGCTCGCGCACCCACACGGGGTGATGTCCAAGGTAGTAGAACGCATGTTTCGCTGAGATGCGGAGGACCAGGGGTTCGGCGACTAGGGCTTCCTCGAGGCCCTCACAGTCGTCCGCATTCGTTTGTTTTTCACGTCGTCTTCACTCCCAATCGTCGGGGTTGTGTTTTCAACACTAGCCCCGAGGTGTGGGGCAGTCGGACCTGGAAGGGCAATCCGCTACGGAAAGTTGGGTGCTTGGATGGCCTCAACGCGTTCGTGAAGAAGAGGCGCCTCGGGGATTGGCGTCACAGGGTTCGGCATTGGTACACTTGGTCCGTATGATATTGACTCCACGGCCCTACTCTCTCGGCTGTTCTGAGGTTCGTGTACCGTGCTTCTTGCTCAATATATGTTGCCCCCGTTGTTGTCCAGGTTCCCTCTTTCGTTTCTTCGCCTTCTTCTCATTGTTCATATTGTAGTTCGTGCTTTCATTTCCCCCATCTGCACAACATTTAGTGTCTACGTTGACGTGTTCGCACATTGCAATCAGGGTGAAGACGTACATGGGGGACCCCGAGCTCGGGAGAGAGCTCGGACCTTAGCGGCTTTCAACAAGGGGCGCTCGCGGTTACGCCGATTGTGCCTGCATTGGTGCATTGTTCCAGAGGTGCGGTAGGGGAACTAAGCAGGGAGGAGTGAGGGCGCAAGGGCAAGCGAGAGACGCATTGGTTCATTGCATGAGGCTACGGTGCGTGGTCTTGGACGTATGTTGTATCGCCGTAGTTGCCCCTCGCGTTGACGAGTACATGCTACGTCTCTGGCGGAAATACGTCCAAGCGGAGTTGAATTACCCCAGTGCGACCCTACCTAGAAGTTGGAGCCCCTAGGAAAGCAGCATTAGTTGCTATGCTATGCTATGCCACGCTATGCTGCGCTATGCTATGCTATGCTATGTTATGCTATGCTATGCGATGCTATGCTGCGCTATGCTATGATATGCTAAACTATGTTATGTCATGTTGTGCTGTGCTATGCTAAGCTATGCTAGGCTATGCTAAGCTGCGCTATGATATGATGTGCTGCGCTATGCTATGCTATGATATGTTATGCTATGATTGCCTACGCTATGCTATGCTATGATAATGATGCGCTATGCTAAGCCAAGCTAAGCTAAGCTAAGCTAACCCTTTAGGCAGAGCCTAGGTAGGGAATTACACCCATGTTAATGCTAAACTCAGAGAAGTTAAGATGACGATAAGCTAAGATAAACCTGAGCTAAGATGAAGCTAAGCTAAGCTAAGATGAAATAAGCTAAGCTTAGATGAGATAAACAAGCTAAGGGGACGTAACTGGGGGGACCGCGGGGCGGATGCCGGGGGAACCGCCCAGGGCGGGTAGCATTGCCCGGCCCCCTTAAGTTCTAAAGTAAGAACCTTTCTAGGCAGAGCCTAGGTAGGGAATAGAAGCTGGTATCGATTACTTCAGCCGAGCACCATCCTCTGACTTGGATCACACCACCCGAGCAAGACATTAACTTATCGGCGTAATAGTACTGCCGCATGTGTCACAGGACCGAGGCGGTTGGGGTACGGCAGGCGTCGCTGCATGGCGTCAAGTATTTCCAAGTTGAGGCTGAGGGAGTGTGGCAGGCCGCGGTTGAAGTGCTAACGAATGCTTTCGAATCGAAAAAGAACCTGTCATATAATCTAGCCGCTGAGACATGAGCACATCCCTAGCGTCGAATGGCCACTCCAGGGCCACAGCATCCAATCCAGCGAATGTAAACGGGAGGGCTGCAAAGAATTTCAGTGCAATACATGGTCTAGAGCTGGCAGCAAGATGCGCTGGGCGAGCGAACTGCTGCACGCTCCACTGACAGCTGGGTCAGAAGTTGGAAGATCACCCTGTTGCACAAGGACAGCCGCCGAATTCAGGGCGAGATCGGCACTTGGAGTGGCCGACCTCGGCGGTGTGGCTCGATGTGCCGCCGCTTCTGTCAGCCCGCTCGGGCCACGCAGGACCAGGACCAGTGAGAGCTCTGGAGTCCTTCTCAAGAAAGGGAAGACCACCCCGACCCGCACAGGCTGGGTCACCTGTGGGGGCGCGCAGATGATCGCGCTTCGTTCGCCGCAGGAAAGGCCAGAGCGGTTGCCCTTCTCTCCAAGGGGGCGGCACGAGGGCGCGAAGATGATCTCGGAGATGGATGTTCGAAGTTAGGCGACTTACACAGTAGCACTCCGACGCGCATAATTGGCGTCCATTGAACAGTCTTGGGCGTTTACTGATCAGTTCTGCCCTGCTCGGTTCCTTCCCCAGGTGCGTTCACGAATGCGCCTCCCTTGTATGGGATGTTTATTATGAGAGTTGCGATTATGCTCTCTGCGTTCACGATTTTGAAGCGACGGGAATGCTGGTCTCGCTTTGGGGGGCCAGTTGCTTCCCTGCAGTGTTCCTCGGTGCCCTGTCCCCCGGGTCCCTGGTGCACACCCTGATGGCACCCGCGTAGCTTCGTTTCGATGGGCAATGGCAGGGTCCTTGGTTCGCCCCTTCCGCTCCGTGGCTCGATGGTCCTCATGGCGTGTGGTGGGCCAATGTGCGTGTGGCACGCCGCTCCGATCCACCGATAGTGCGCAGCCCGTGCAGGCCCTCATTACACAGGTTGCGTCCTGTTGATGGGCTTCTGTGGACAGGCACCCGTTGGAGCTGACACACGCTCTGAGGATCACAGTGCGGCTCTTCCTTTTGCCCCGTTGTCTGGAGGTCAAAGCTGGTCTTGAATCGCTGGCCTCCTGGAGACCTCTTGGGGCCTCTGGGATGCTGAGCACTGTGCGTTCTTCCCCACATGTTTCAGTGCCGAGATGCGTTGTCGGTGAATGGGGCGACGCGATGCCGACTTCAACGCACGCATACGGTCCAACCACCTCTACTTTGGCGTCGCAGACGCATCGATTAGCCTTGCGCTGAGAGGCCTGTGTTGCCGTCGATGCGACAGATCACTGGCAACTGGGCAAGATCGGATGTGGGTGGGCGCGGGGACACGCTGAGGCCAGCTCCTTTTGCGCACGAGTGTGACTTTATGCCTCAGTCGGCTTTTGTATTTGGGTGGCGTGCGGACGTTGGCCAGGACTGATTTTGCGTGTTTTCTGTCTCTCTCTCTCTCGCGTTATGTTTCTCTTTATCTCTTTCTGTGTCATTGTTCCCCTCTCTCTATATATAGTGTTCTACATATGTATATGTTTCCTACCTAGGCTCTGCCTAGAGGTTTCTTACTCTCTTTCTTAAAGGGGCCGGGCAGTGGAAATCGCCCCGGGCGGTTCCCCCGGTATCCGCCCCGCGGTTCCCCCAGTTGCACCCCCTGGGTTCACCCAGCTTAGCTTAGCTTAGCTTAGCTTAGCTTAGCTTATCTCATCTTAGCCTAGCTTAGCTTTGCCTAGCCTAGCCTAGCCTAGCCTAGCTTAGCTTAGCTTAGCTTAGCTGAGCGCAGCTTCTCTCATCTTATCTTAGCTTATCTTAGTTTAACTTAACTTGGCTTAGCTTGGCTTGGCTTGGTCTGGCTTAGTTTAGCTTAGCTTAGCTTAGCCTAGCCTAGCCTAGCCTAGCTTAGCTTAGCATAGCTTAGCTTAGCATAGCTTAGCTTACCTTAGTTTCGCGCAGCGCAGCGCAGCATAGCGCAGCGCAGCACTAGCACAGCATAGCCTAGCATCGTATAGCCAAGCATAGCATAGCATAGCCTAGCATAGCGCAGCATAGCATAGCATAGCATAGCATTGCTTAGCATAGCACAGCGCAGCATAGCATAGCATAGCACAGCGCAGCATAGCATAGCCTAGCATAGCATAGCATAGCGCAGCATAGCATAGCATAGCATATCATAGCATAGCATAGCGCAGCATATCATATCGTAGCAATGCCTAGCATAGCATAGCATAGTGCAGCATATCATAGCATAGCATAGCGCAGCATAGCATAGCATTGCATAGTCTAGCATAACACAGCGCAGCCGAGCGTACCCTAGCATAGCATAGCATAGCGCAGCACAGCAAAGCATAGCCTAGCATAGCATAGCATAGCGCAGCATAGCATAGCATAGCATAGCATAGCAGCAACACAAAGGCAAAGCAACCGCAGCAACAGCAAAGCAAAACACAGCGAATGCAAATCAAAGGCACAGCAACAGCAGCAATAGCAATGCAACGCAAAAGCAAACCCAATACGACATTGTAGATGTAGATGCAGATGTAGGTGTAGGTGTAGATGTGGCTGTAGGTGTAGATGTGATGTAGATGTAGGTGTAGATGTAAGTGTAGATGTAGATGTAGATGTGAGTCTCGCTGTTGATGTTGATGTAGATGTAGATGCAGCTGTACATGTAAATGTAGCTGTCGGTGTAGATGTAGATGTTGCTTTCCTAAATGTTCCAACTCCTAGGTAGGGTCGCACTGGGATCAGCTGCATATATGCATGTATGCATTGTTATCATTATATGTGTTTCTAAGTGTACATATGTGCGTCCCCATCTGTTGAATGTATATATAAATGTACACATGTGCGTATGTGTTCAGTCATTTGTATTCATCTAACTATATGTGCAGTTACATGTACATCGATTCGCCTGTGCAAATTTGCATACATATGCATACATGATTATTCAACCTGGGTGTACACATGTTCACGCACACCTGCATATATGCATATCGATGTATGCGAATGTACACATACACACACATATATATATACACACATACATCTACAAACAAAAATCATAACCGGAAACCCGGCCCCGAGTGGCCCAATGCCGAAGACCACCAGGGACACCCAGAGTATTTTAAGTTCCCCTTCTCGCCCCATGGGGTCTCCCCGGAATGTTTGAAGGATTTTCGCGTTTTCGTGTTTGTCCGGTTTCCGGCCGCACAAGGGGGCTCAAGAGGCTTCCAATACCGCCCTAAGACGGGCCAAGATTGCCACATGACGGCCGAAGAGGCCCCCTGGCCCCAAGATGTCCCAAGAGAGGCCCAAGGGGGGCTCCAGGAGCCCTCCCCATCAAGACGGCTCCCAAGTTTCAACATGCCCCGAAGAAGGCCCCCCACCAGGCCTCAAATCTTTCCCCAAGAGGTCCCCAGGGTATTCCCGGAGGACCCCATGACTTCCCCATAATCCTTCCTGCCCCCAAGAGAGTTCCAAGCCGACTCTCTGGAGCAGTCTGGGGGCTCTCTTGGGGGCGAGGGGGTACAGCACCAGGGGGGGGGGCAATAAATGCTTACACGCATGTCTACTTGTATGTAGTCGTGCACCCCTCGCCGTAATCCGAGCACACATTCCCTCCTTCGGCGACGAACGCGTTGACTTCCCAACCCACAGCTCCTTTCCTCCGGGCACGGCCCCGCTACGCCGCTTGTCGTTCTATATCCCAAGACAATTAGAACATGAGCGCGCGCGCGCGTTGCGCGTGCGATGGCTCCCTAGTATACATAGATGGAGTGCAGATTCCTATGCAACGTCCCTGCTGGGCGCTGTTTCCATTCCTCTCGATAGTGCGGTGCCAGCTCAATCCTATGTTACCCTACTGTCGCCCATTATGTTGATCATGCGATGCGCTGCTTATGGGAAGCGCATTATGGATCGGAAGAGCAACGAAGATGTTGCAGTTATTCGGTATGGGTGGCACTGGTTAGATCGCTTGATAAGAGGTCGAATTAATGTTATCATAACGGGCGGGGCAAAGTTGGTGAAAGGCACGAGGGTCACTCCCCCTCACTTACATGTTCTGCAGGGCGCCTTTTGAAACAGCTTCGGATGAAGGGTTAGGGATGAGGATCAGATGACGATGAGGAACACGGCGGAGGAACAGGAGGAGGAAGAGGTGACAGCTCGATCACAGGCGGGCCCCGCCGATGAACACTTGCGATGGTTCTGCTTAGACGCCTAGCGTTCACACGCAGCTAGCAAGCGATCACAAGCAGCAGTCAGCTTGTCCTAAGTGTGGCCACGTGATGCGGATTGGGCCACCGCACCAGACATTCATTTGTTGCGACCTGCTCGGGACCAGTTTTGGTTGGTTGGTTTTGCCAGCTTGTCTTGCTTGTTTAGCGTGCACTGTCTATGGCGGACAACAAAAAACATGAATATGGCAACGGCAACATCTACATCATGTCGCGCAAACCACTGTGTAGAAGCAATTCGGCTGTCCAGGGCATTCCTGGGGATTCGGCTTGCCAGGCATGTCATATATGCATCTACGTGTAAGTTATGTGCGCCCCTGCCTTTCTGCGGGGCGTATGCCAAACCTTGGGCTAACGGTTGGCCGAACTGCTGGACACTGTTTTCCTTCAGTTGTTGTGGAAACCGCTTGGAGGGGGGATTGAAACCGTCCCGGGGGCTTCTTAGGCCATTTTTGGGCGGTCTTGCGCATTCTTGGTACCTTATTGGGCCTCTTTCTCAAGCCGTCCCAAAGGCATGTTTTGCCGCAGAGAAGCAAAAAACAGCAAAATTCGGTTGGTTGTTCAATGCTTTTGGCCTCCAAGGGCCGCGCTGGAGGCCGTCGTGAGTGCCTTTGGGGACTTCTGGGCGCGTTGCGGGGGAGTCGTCCTGATGTGGGGCGGTCTTGGCCCGTCTTGAGGCCGGCGTGAGACCAACCAAGAAGAGCGCTGGAGGGCAAAGCTGGGAGAGGGGGGGAAGGGGGCAATTTCTGGACCCCTCGTGGGGTCGTCCTTGGAAAGCTACCGAAAAAACACAACCAACTGGCATTCTGACACGCCTCAGCGTGCCGAGAGCACGGCGGCGGACAATTGCTGCTGAGCCAGCGCTGCCGCCGACACGCGGGTGTTCGGATACGCGGATGTTGCACGCTTTTGGGGCATTGCCGCCACGATTTCACTATTGCTAGCCCTGCTGCTGCTGCTGCCAATGCAGTTGCCAACACGTGCCGTGCTCCCCTGGACCGTCGACCCTTGGAATTCGTCGTTCGTTGCCAGTGACCCCCGAGTTGTGGCCCCTGGGCTGTCAAACTCTGGACTCCCCCCAGGCAGCGAATTCCGCTGCAGGGTGCGGGGGTGCACGCTACAAACAGAGTCTGTCGTCTATCGTCTAGCGTCCGTAGTGCTACACGCATCGAGCGCGGCGCGTCACTTCATGTCTCGCTGCCGCCCATGGCACTGGTTGGTCCGCCTGGGTCGCCGCGGGCTCCCGACGCAGGCCCCCTGCCCACCTGCTCTTGCAGCTGCATGACTTGAAACGCTAATGTCAGCTTGTCCCTCCGCCCTCGGCCTGCCCCCCCCCCTCTGCCCCCTCTGTCCTCGGCTTTATTTGGCCACGCGCCGCTTTGTTGCTTCGGCGGCGGCTGCGTCGCGGCCACGCTCGACGCGTTGCCGCATGTTTCGTTGCCGCCCACGGCACTGGAAGCATCGCCTGGGTCGCCGCGGGCCCCCGACGCTGCCCACCTGCTCCCGCAGCTGCATGGCTTGGAGCGCAAATGTCAGCTTGTCCAGTCCGCTCCTCTGGTCCTCGGAGAGGCCCGCGTACGGCGCCGCGCTCAACGCGGGCTGGGCGGCTGTCATGGCGTGCCTTGCGGGCATCCGCCCCCCCGCGCCGCTGGGCGGAGAGGCAATGTTGGCCGCCCCCGCACCTCCCCGCCCCTCGGCAGCGGGGCCCCCCGAGTCGCCCTGCGGTTCGGGCACGGGGGCTGAGCTCTCAGGGGCGCGCGCGAACTCCTCCTCCGAGATGTCGCTGTCAGAGGGTCCACCTCCTGGTCAGGGCGAGGCACGCGGTGCTGCCCCGATACTTCAGCCACCGCCATCGGGCGTCCCACTTCCGTTGCGACCTCCTCCGTGGTTGGCGGCGCGCCCCTGCTGGGCGGGTCAATGCCCGCGCTCGCACCCTCGGTGGCCTTTTCCAGCGCGGCCGCCATCGCATCGGTTTCCGATTGTGTTTCAATTTGTTTATTTGGAACCTCAGTTTTAGGTTTAGCCTTGGCCTCCGTTTTAGCCTTGGCCATGTCGCTGAGAGCCTCGCGCAACGGCGCGGGGTCGTGGCGCGAGGAGGCAGGGCGAGTCGTCGCCGGCCAGGGCATCACCGCGGGCTTCGAGAGCTCCGTTGCCATGGTGTCGCTAAGCCGCGCGATCCAAACAG